CCTAACGATTCTATGATTCTATGATAGTAGTGCTGGGAGCCTGACACAAAACTCATAGCCTGTTTTTGTTCAGTCAGGTGGGCCCCTCATAATGCGTATAAGCGAAACGCGAGTGTCTCCAGCAAATTCACTCTGCACAAACTTTAATGCCTCCTCCCTTTCTGGGCCATGTCAATGAAGAAGTGTTTTGGGGCCAGCTCTCCTTCACTAGCAGGTAAACCCTTTAAGATCATTTTTGTGGGAAGCTCACGTTAAATACTGACAGCAAATAATTTGTTCTCTATTCTAGGCAGCTTTACAAGGATATAAAGCTTTACAAGGATGTCAAGCTGGTTCCCCCCTTCACACACCACAATAACACAGTTTTACTGATGCTTCAAATCCAATTAATTGTTTGATTTCCTTTTACCTTTTGACTTTCTCTTAAGGGACAGTATCCTTGCCATTGAGAAACAGTATAGTTTTAATGACCGTACCACTGATGGTACATACCCAGACTACAGAAAACCCCATTCTTGGAGACTGCATCATTCTCATGCGGAAGAGCCAATACCATGCAAAGTAAGGAAACTACTTTGCATAGGTTTCTGGAAAACCCTGGGGAAAAAAAATCTTATTTTAAGAAGAGCTGTAGCAAATATGTTTTAAGATGAAACAATGCAAAGTAGTCTAGATGCAAATATTCAGGCCTAGTCAGATATGAGATTGCAGTTTTATTGCTGCCTCAGTAGGGGGAAATCCCCATGCCTGTTAAAGGCCCAAATGAAGTGCTAGTCTATTGCCCATGGGACACAGGTTACGCATTTTTTAATAAAATAATACCGCTTTAAATCATCACTGTTTGTAAATCCTAATGCAGCAAACATCCTGCTACTTTGATAATATTCCAAGAATAACAAAAAAGACTAAATTCTTACTCTCTGGACCCCACTCCTACTCCCCTGTAAGCAATTAACACGGAAGTAAAATCGGAAAGTGCTTGACGACCTATCCCTTGCACTGCCTGCAGCCCCCCACACCCCTCACGGGGCTCCCCGCCACGACAGCCTGCCCTCGCCTCAGCTTTCCCCCACCGACGGACCAGCCTTACCGCTCCTCTGATTGGCCAGTGGCAGACAGACGCACTCTCCGATTGGCTGTGCGCCTCGCTGATGAGGATGATAGGCTGGGCCCCACTCCCGCCTCTGCTGCCTCCTCGGCCACCTCCTCCCGCCCCCCAACCAAGCATAGGTGGGGCGTCCCGCCGAGGCCTGGCGCCGGGGTGTGATGCGGTCAGGCGGAACTAATCCTCAATAATCGCCTTATAAATACAAGTAGCTCTGTCCCAGAAAATACGGGCCTGAGGAACCAAACCACACAACTTTATAAAGACAGCAAGAGCAGGGAAGAATCATAAAAAGCAGTCTGAACTCTGAAGAAAGCTGACCACAAGAACAGCACTGTACAGAAAAATGTTTATTGAGAATGGAGTTGCATTAGAATTGTTACCATTTCATCAGCAAAATCTGTGGCAAAAGAAACATGTCCTTATTGTCCACCTGTCACGAAATCCGGTCTGTACATCAGCATTGGTCTCTCAGCTGGTTGCTCAGTTCCTGAAGTTCAGCAATCATGTTGTCCATGGTTGTCACCTCATCAGCTATCTCACTGTGAACCTCATTACTTGTTACGTCTACAAAAAGCTGCTGCATGACAGAAGAAATACATTATTTTGAAATATACATACAGTTTATCTGTTTCTGTACAGAGACAGAATAAAGAAAGCTCATCAACACTATCCTGCCTTTTGTATGTTGGTGCCTATGATGGAACCACCAAAAATTCCATTCTGTGGCTAAAAACCAGAAGGTGCATCCATCCATCCATCCACACACACAGACTAGTGGTGTGCCACATACCTGATATTTTGTCAAAGGGGTTGAATCCTCCTGCGGATGTTGGGTTTCTGCTCTGACTTAACTGCCTACTCTGACTTGTGATCCCACCCGAAGTGAAAGATTTTACCATGTAACTCAAATTAGAAGAGCATCTCCCATACTGTCACTGCAGTTTACAAACCCACCTGCTGATAAATTAGTAGTGGTGAATTTCAGTGGCCCAGTGTCATACTGTGTTGTGTCATTTTCTCCAAAACCCCAAATAAGCATGCTTTAATGTTTGTTGTCATGGCATGCATGGGTGGAGATATTAATCTGTGTGTAATTAAATTATACAAGAGAAAACATACCACCACAGAGTAATAAAAAAGTTTGTTCTTAAAGACCTTAAGACATAAACAAAAACACAAAGCAGCAAACTCATGAGGAATCATAATCTTGACATATTTAAAGGGAAAGCAAAGGACAGGAATGCTAAATGACTTGTCTAAAGCCTTGAGATAGATACACGAGCTCTAACTGGAGCTTTGTGCATGCTGCAGCAGAACATGTTGCTATTGCAAGGCAAGGATGTATCCTTTCACTCAAGTAATATGGAGGCTGTGTGAGGTACCACTCCACAGAAATATGGTGGTGGTGGGACCCACACATATGTTTCCCCTTTATTATGTCAAGGGAGAGTGACTCATACTTCATTTGACACAAGCGAAAACCCTACATTTAGAGACAAAAACAAACCAAGAAAACAAAAGTTGCTCTGGAGTCCATCTGTACCTCATTATACCATCAAAACATAAAGGGACAATACAGATATGTATATAAACAAAAATGTACTTAAAAAGGCCTGAACCAAGGTCTTCAATGTGCCTCAGAACAGTGTTGTCACTGAACAAAGGAACTTCTTACACAAAAATAGGAACACGTTCCTGCTACAAGTACAGAAACTTTGACTTTCAGCCAAAAAAACACACTGGGAATATGACAGAAAAGTCTGATTCTTTCTGGATAAGACAGCTAAATAAATCAGGACATTATAATTGTGTGTTGGGTTTTTTGGTTCCCCCTCCCCCCCCAGTTAAAGACATCTATTCAACTGGATGCAGCCGGGGGAAGTTTCAAGCACCATCATTCTTTGGTCTTTGTGCCCCACGTTTCCCCACAACAGTGCCCACATTTCATGCATTTATGATACAGCTCCATGACCTTTCTCCTTTTGGGAGACCCCATCTGTCAGATCTGAATGATGCATGGGGGCAAGGAGCAGATGAGAGCCCACTATGCAATTTGCCAGAGCATGTGACTGCCCAGAAGGGTCTGTATGGAAAGGAGCCCATTAACAACACATTTTCAAGTTGCAGCCTTCAGCAGAGAGCGGGTGCATCCCGAGTCCTGCACAAGAGGGGAGCTGGAATGTCAGAGATGGAGATCCCGGGAAATGCAAGAAGTCTGAGAAATGACATTGTTTCACCTATACAAAAACTACTAGATATGTTCCAGGATATGCATATCCTGACTACAAAATGTTGCAATTTTATCTTTTAGAAGTTACTTTCACTGCTCTTTTATTCCTTCTGAAATCTTAACTGAGTCTGCTCTTAGCCCATTATTTAAAGTATCTTTTTCTGTTAAAAGAAAAAAGAACACTCCCCCCACTAATACTGACTCACCAGGCAGCAAAAGGAGATACTGCAGTCAAGCTTGGACAGGCATAAACAGTGCTAAACTGTTCGTGCATAGGATCTTAGAGGAGATGACGGAGTTTTTAAACCACAATACACTTTGGAAATTCAATATGACTTCAAATTAAAAATAAGACGGCATCTTGGAAACTATGCAAAAACAATGAGGTCACACCAACAGCTTTATCTCTAATATGTCAGTTTTCTCAGAAGTTCCATAAAACTTAAGAGGCACGATTACCTGCCAATAATATAGATGTTCATTTAATTAGTGCCTTCAGGAATTAAGAATACAATTCAATAGATTCACCTTATCTTAATCTTTCATATACTGCCTGATCTTGCATAATATAAACCACCTGTACTTGCATTTATGTAATTTAATATCCAGAAGTCTTGTTCTCTCTACAGTCATACTCAGCCTAAAGACTTTTTTTAAAAACCATTTTGTGAATCAAACAAAACATACATGTTGTGGTATTTTTCACCACATGCTGAAGACCTAGGTATGCCAGTATCTAAAAGCACAACTATGAGCCAGGACTTAAAAGCGGGTGAGCCAACTTCAGCACACTGATGACGGATCAACACTTTGTAACACAAGCACACGTTATAAAACTTACGCTCTGTAACTCACATTTACTGAACCCCACACACAGCCAGGAAGAATACTTCTTTCAGTGTATTTGGAATGAAAGCATATTTCAGATCAATCCTCAGTTAAAAGAATGGCTGTGTTTCATCTTATAAGATGAAGGGTAAAATTAGGATAATAATGGTGCAGAAACAGACTTTGCTTTTTGGGTGCCTGGCTATGGAGAGGCACAGCTCCAAAAACCAAACATATGATTTCAAACATACCTGAATTGGCAGGGTATCCATGAAAACCTAATTAAAAATGAGTTCTCTCTTTTAATAAATAACTCTTTTCTTAAAACACACCAAGTGACACAAAGTCCTGACATGTTTTGGTCCTTTCTGCGGGTTTACATCCGTTCTTTCTAAGACTGCCCTGACTATTCATGTAAGGAACAGGTCTTTGAAAGGACCAATTTCTTCCAAACATTGGAGTCTGTCTGCCCAACATTTTAAGTAAAGTTCCAACGCAGTCTAAGAGATAGCACTGATGTTATAGAGTAGTAGGTTTACTTCAGTCAAAACATAGCAGGAAGAAGGGAAGTAAGTCCACTTAAAACTCGAATCCTTAACAGCGTAGAGGTGAATATCCATCTGGTGATGCAGTGGGGCAGGCAGATATTATTTGATCTATAAATGACTCAAAACAGAGAAATGGTTTCTGGCAACAGAACAAAGATTCCTAGTTTTCAAACATTCCTACCTTTGCTTTGGATGACAAGCCACGCAAGTTGAGCCGAGCTGAAGAAAGTATCTGCAAAGCTTCCTGACGATTAGATTTGTTCTTGCTGCATTTTATAGCCACTAGAATCCAAACACACAACAAACAAACAAACAAAAAAGCATTACCTCTATAGCAATAATATTTAAACAATACTTAATTAAAAATATTTATACCTTCCATAGACTTTTTTTTAACATACTATCCCCCAAAAGAAACACAAAGAAAAAGAATGCCAGGTAATTTTGAGAAGATACCTCTAAACCAGCAGGTATACATACCCTTCTTAAACATAAATACCACAACACAGTGAATAGTCTTACTGAGTCTAAGTCTTGCCCATCTCCCGACTGGCACAGTCAATCAAACTTATGTGGTGATTTGAGGACTGAGGTAAATTATATATGCATTTCCACCTGCATTATTAAATTGCTAGGGCATGAAATTAAATGATTCCATGTTTACCAATCATATGTTTAATGACTTAACCAACAGCAATTTCTGCCTCATTCCACATATATTTTTGCATGGACTATCAGGACGATGCTCTCTGTTAGAGGACTCCCAACAGTAGGAATAATGGTATGTAATGGGTAAGGTATAATATTATTTTTTTACTAAGCTTAATAAATATTTGCTACACTCTTCATGAATTACGAAAGTTCTTTTCAGTTAGAACATACCATATGCAATCTCTATGGCTCCTTTCACCACTTCCTTAAAAGAAGAAACATCTTTCTCCCAATCACTTGATTGGATTTCACATTTATGTGCCTTAGTGAGATACTGCAGTGACTGCAAGGAGGAAAAAAAATTATCAGCATGTGAGAAAACAAGCTAGGAGACAATTCTGTAGATACTTAAAACTGAATTAAAGTGCTCAATCCAGAAAAGGAATGTATCTTTACAGTGCTTGATTTCCTGTGAGTTGGAGTAGTGTCCTTCTCTGCAACGGTAAGCACCAGCTGTAACACAGATGTTCTTCACCAATATTACATCTCAAGTATGAGAGGCATATAAAGTAACATATGTCTAATTTTTATCTTTTAAAAATCTGTCTAGACTGATGGATGTGACCCATGTTTGCCAAGTTATCATAATTAAATGCACATGAAAAAGGGAAAAATACTAGTACTCACACTTTGAACAGCAATGTTTTACCTAAAATTTTTTAAGCGAATACATCAAAGCTTTCTTTCTGTATATGTATTTTTGGCAAATAATGTATTTTACAGATGCACCTACCACCTGCCATACTGCTCTGTTTCTCAGTGCGAACAGGAAAAATAAATGTAAAAAATATCGCAGGAGGGTCCCCTAAAGAAATAAACTCTGAAAAATTTAAGCAAAAGAAATTACTTTTTGCTTTCTAGTTTTGTTTTCTTTCTGCAGCATCAGAAACACAAAACGAATACATGCCAGAAATTACATGTCTTGGTTCAATAACAAGCCTTCAATTACCTTTTTAAGGAATTTAAATATCACAAAGTGATAAAAAAACCCCTCAGTGCGGTGTATGTACTTGAGTGCAATGAAGACTTCTGGTTCTTGAACAACGACACATAAAATTTGGGGATTTTCACACCCTGGAAGCTTCCACCTTCTCTCTCCCATTGGAGTTCCAGTCACTACAGCACAAGTGACTGAACAGTTCATGCTGCTGTAAATTCCAGTAAAGGTGTATTAAGTCAAACCAGAGCAAATTAATTTTTCTCCTAATACCTAGGTTATAACTGGTAGTAGCTCTGGCCAGCAGAGCCAAGAACTTCCAAGAGAAGGAACAACTGTTTTACAGCAATCTGATTTCAGTCTGCACGTGTGAGTCAGAGCAGCACATTAGGGGGATTTTGCTGACAGATGTCAGGGAGGGGAAGGAATTCGAAGTCTTGTGGGCTATTTGTTTGTACTTCTGGAACCTGGATTTATCCTGGAAGGAAACAGCTATGAGCTGGGTAAAGTTCAAGGAACAGAAGGGTTTAATAGCCTGGGTATGGATCAGCAAGAAACTTGAAGGTTGGAAAGATTCCTCGGTGGGAAAAGGCTGGACTGGACTGTGTTCAGCATAGGAAAGAATGAAGTACTGAATGAGGTGGCAGGTCGGACACATAAAAGTGTAAGAGTAAACATAAAGAAAAAAAACACAAACTCAACACTGCAATAGGTTTACACTCCTAACTCACAAACTGTCTGACTTTGATCCAATTTACAAAGCACTGTTGTGACTTCTAGCTGTAGATTCCAGTGATTCACATGGCATCAGCTATGGTATGAGAGCAGAGAGGTAAAAAAAAAACCCCACCACCAACCCAGCCTTTACAAGGTTGTTCTTTCAAATGCAATTTTAGGAACAAAATTAGTTAAATATAATTAAATCTACACTAAATAAGGTATTAATCACAGAATCATAGAATGGTTTGTGTTGGAAAGGGATCTTAAAGATCAACTAGTTCCAACCCCCCTGCCATGGACAGGGACACCTTCCACTAGACCTGGTTGCTCAAAGCCTCATCCAGCCTGGCCTTGAACATTCCCAGGGATGGGGCATCCACAGCTTCTCTGGGCAACCTGTTCCAGTGCTTCACCACGCTCTCCAGGAAGAACTTCTTCCTGATATCCAATCTAAACCTCCCCGCTTTCAATTTAAACCCGTTACCCCTTGTCCTGTCACTCCAGGCCCTTCTAAAAAGTCCCCCCCAGCTTCCTTGTAGCCGCTTCAGGTACTGGAAGGCTGCAATAAGGTCTCCCCAGAGCCTTCTCTTCTCCAGGCTGAACAAGCCCAACTTTCTCAGCCATATTCCATTACATTACGGAATAATGGTCATGTAAAGGAGGTACATGACACTACGATACAGCTCTTTCCACCTCTTTGTCCTATGATGTCACAGTATACTAAATAATGCCCTTTCATAATTCACTGACCTTTTGCATAATGAATGTGGGTGGAAAACTGCAATACATGTGGAATTTTTCTACACATAGTTATATTTGCTTAATATCTGACTGACACATGATGGTGCTTGTAGCAGTGAAGCAAATAAATACTGTTTTTAACATTTTTATATTACAAAATGATACCAGAAAAGCTACCAGTGATTATCCAGTGTAATGTAAATTCTTTTTTTACACTGTAAATTACAATATGCTGTGGCTGTTAGCAGTTTTGCTCTTTCATGATCTGTATCTATGGTACCGCCATACCAGGATACTTGGGTACACACCTAAGCATACCCTAAGTATTTATAAACATAATTCCATTTTACAGGGCAAGCTAGACTGTAAGCGTATTCCATAACCAGTCTGATTAGGAAACACAGCTGAAGTCCTGTCTACTCTACAAATTGAAACCATGTTTTTAACTGGGTTAGTGAAAAATACTGTGATGTAACCAGATTCCGAAACAATTACATTTATAGTATAGACAGGGCCTCTGCTACTTTGCATGTCTGAGTAAGAATTTGAGGATATATTACAGGATATTGCAGTGTCTGTATTTCTGAATTCTAAATAGGCCAAATCCCTTTTATTGTTCAGCTGTAAAGAAAAATAGGGAAGAAAAAAAGGGAGGAATTGGAAGTATAATGGACACCAGCAACAACTAAACAAGGCGTTTCACAGGGCAGAGCATAAAGACACTGAGCAAGGCCCAAATAATTACAAGTTTAACCCAACAGGCACACAATTTGCAGGGCCAACCATCTGCATAATATGCTCGCTATCAAGGGACAATCAATCCTCCAGACTGACATTTTTGCCCAGGCCAAAGGCATACCCCCATGAGGAAGCACACACTGAATGCTGACCTTGTGTGTTTTCAGCTTCAGTGAAGATCTGCTAACCCGTGAGTATGTTTGGAGTGTGCAGGTCTATTTGAATTTTGGAAATTTAATACCAAATGCAAAGCACGCTCCAGCATACAACACAGCATACAACAACACTTCTAGTAGTGCAGAGTGGTTATTTTGGAAATGCAGTCACCTCGATTACCTGGGAAGTGACAGGAACCAGAGATAGAAGTTAACCAATAGAGTTAAAGAGGTTAAGTATTAAACAGGATTATTTAATTCCATTTTAAGCTAAGTAAGAACAAAACACTTTTACTCTGGGAACTCTAACTGTGGTGTAGACTGTCTTCAACACATTTTCCTTTAGTGATTGCACAGAAGAATACAGATGGATCACAATGTCATTGGATCATGCCACTAAAATCACTGAGAAGGATTTTTGAAAATCCACAAAAGCTGCTGTAAAACATCTTGCTTCTGTTCAATAACAAAAATGTGTGCTGTAGGAACGTGAAAAGCAGAAGATAAGCTTATAGAAACACTAAAGCGAAACATGTCTGGAACAAGAGCTATAGCACCGTAGTATGTTAGAGAACAGAAAGTTTGCACCCTATGTGTATACATAAAAACGTATACCTCAACACACTTACCTTTTCGATATCTTCCCCGCTGTCATTCTGTCCATTTCCATAAAGTTGGGCATAAAGTCTCCAGATCTCCCCATCATTTGTCACTCGTGAAGTCACTCTGCCCAAGAGCTCCTGCAATTTCCCCTTCAATCCACTCGCTACCTCTCCAGTGCGATCTGCCATACCATCCACTACTGCTCTGACCAGAATCGCCAGCACCTTAAAAAAGCAGCAGGGAAGAGTTTTCCTTTCAACTCAAATCAACATCAGTATGTATAATGATATCTGTAATATTTGGTCTCAATGATTCAGTAATATACAAGCATGGTGTCATATGACAAGTATAGAATTTACTAAGAAATACATTATTAGGGGAGTAATTCAACTAATTTAAACCTCTTCTAGAAGATTCTATGATTGGAGAAGATAGAGGCCAAAGACCTAAGTCAGAAATTTGGGTTACTGTGACAGGCTAGTGTGAAAAATAATGGTAGAAGAGGTTGTGGCAGTATCATAAAGATATTTTCACCTTATAAACTGGTCATAAAAAGATCAGTAAACAGGCCGAATGAGATTAATTCATGTAACAGAAGACACTGTTGTTTACAGGACCTCAACTTAATTATCTGCAGAAACTGAAAGACATATAGTGGATGAGGTGGGAAAGTGGAAGCCAACTGAATACTACCCTGGGAAACTCTGTGTTTAATGCAGTTCTGGTGAATTACTATTCAAGCCATTTCAATCAAACTTTTTACAGGTACTCATTTAATGGCCTTACTTTCTGAGTCACTGGCTTGAGAATGTGGGATCTCACCTGCAGAAATGCTGAGCACTTACAGCTGCTGGTAAATTCAGCAGGAAAAATGCTATATAATACCAAGTGTCCCCAAAAAACCCAAGACTCTCTGCGTCCCACAGTGGACACTCAAAATCAGAAAACCATTTCGCTGTGCCTCAGTTCCTTCTCAGTAAAATGAGAAATAGCAAACATAAATTAAGACATTGGATCATACGGTGAATTAGAAAAACCTAGAAAGCTGTGGCTTCTTAAGTGAGAACTACCTGTCCTGTGTAATGCATGAGACACAGATCTGAAGAAGAAATAATGATAAAATCAAAACGGAAGTCTCATAAGGCTTGCATTCAAGATAGGCTTTGGTATACAAGGTATCCAAACACCTTCGTGCTCTAATTCCTCACTTGTGAGACTAACATTTGGCAACTTTAATGCTTCAACATTTTAGTCCATGTAATATCAGTACTTACAATGAAATCACATCAATAGCAATATTAATAACAGTAATAAAAAAAAATTTCAAAGATGATCTGTGAATAGCCCCAAACCACAAAAATACACCCCTGCTCCAGTAAGAGTAGGACAGAGGGTACATCCTCACAAATCAAGATGTAGTTCCCTGGAATTATGATGGTATTAAAGTATATTACACTTCAAATAAAAATATATGCAGTTTAATATTTGTGATATGTCGTCTTCCCTAAAACAACTTTTCTTCTTCAGAATGACTCAATTACCATGCACCCCAAGAATTAATGACTGAGTTTTATCAGATATAGTAAGGCTTTGGCAAAAAACCCAAATAAATCAAAATGGCTGCTGATGTTAAAAAGTGAATCTATGTAACAGAAAAAGTGAAAAAAAAAAAAAACATATCTCTGGTACCTTTCCAGAATCACTATGAAATCACAGTAGCATCTGAACATCAGCTAAACAGCCCCTCCACAAAAGTCCTAAGAATATAGCCCTAATAAAGTCATGTGACAAACTGGCTGGTTTCTCTTTTATTTTCTGTTAGAGCTCAGCTTTTCACTTATGATAATCGACAACATGATCAACTATTAATAGTCCAAAAGTTCTGTAATTCACTGTGGTTGTTACTTGGAATCTAAAGGATTAAACCCCATCATTAAACGAATCAAGTCTTCTATAATGATTTGCTAGAAAAACACCAGCAAGTACTGATATTGATATTTCCATCACTACAGCATGGTAATAAAAAAAACAGAAGAGGTGTAAGAGAGACACTAAACTATGTTCTCTTTTGCAGAGGACCCAGAACTGGTCCTGAGGATTCGTACATACGTGCATGACTTCTCAATCACTTCCTCAGTTTCACAAAATTGTTGCTCAAAGTCCAAAAAGTTAGTTCACATGAATACCTTGTATAGTTATGAAGAGTTTTAAAGCCAGTGATATTTTGTTTACACATAAAAAACCATCACCCAAACCTAGTTTCCTCTGTTAGTAGAATTTAGCAACTGAAAAATTACTCATATTCCTATAGAGTTCAGGTCTTGCTTACACTTTCCTCATCATAATATATCTCCTTTTTTGTAATTCATCATGTAAGCTTTAGCGCTACAGCAGTTAAAATAAAACTATCATGAAAGCCCGGATTAAAGGGTCCATTAAACACTAATGAATCATTAACGCTACTTAACTGTGCCCAGTTTTTAAATAAAGCTATTTCAAACTGCAAGTGAATCGTGCTAATAACCAAAAAGTATTAGCAGTGTAACAGAGCTTTCCACTACAGATGGTTGTCTTAAGTGATAAATTTTAATTTATATAATGAGAGATTTTTTACTGCCATATATACTTAACTCCTAAAGTGATGCTCTGTTGCCCAGGACACCACACAAATTGTAGGAGTTTTTTAATGACTCTTTTAATGGTCTGGGCTCCCTATGACAACTGTGAAGAGAGTTTGTGTTCATTATGACATCACACCATCTGCATTCCTCCTTCTCCTTTACTGTTGTGAATAATGTGTTTACTAAAAACGGAACAAAAACCATCATGGGACAAAACCTTGGAAACAAACCAAATCAGTTTAAAATGCTGTGCTTGCTCTCAGTTAATCTCATTCCACAATCATTCTCTAAACAGCTCCTTTAATATAAAATTCACTGGTCAAATAATTTTTAGAAGCTTCACTAATACTAATCACACTTGACAGCACTCAAGTAACAAAAGAACACTCGGCCACCAGATCCAAAATGACAAATCCACAATGTATGAGCTCTCCCTATGCCCTTCTCAAATCAAAGCTTTATAATGCAAAGCCTTCGATACTGTCTCA